CATCTCAGAGCCTAGAGGGGACAAGGGCTGGCAGCATATCAAGGCCCTAGAAATACCTTGACTAGCACGCACCACTTTGACATCTCAGCCACCCTAAGGGACTCAGAGACCTACATGCACAGTTTACTGCCATTTCCTACCATCTTGAGTCTTGGGGCATTTCACTGACCTAGAAACCAACTTGCCACCACCCCCAAACAGATTTACACAAACACACCACCAGTAAAACCAATTGTCATTGAGTTGATCCCAACTCATAGAGACTTCATGTGTAGAAACATAGAAATGACATATTGCTAGGTACCTGCTTTAGGTATGGACAGCTGACAGGCCCTCGGTAGTCAGTCAGCATGCATGGGGCCTCTTTCCTTGCTGACCCACTATGGGATTTGGCTGGCCTCTGACTGGCCCAGTGGAATGCCATACTCCAGACTTGCTTCCTCCCTTTGCCATGGGCCCCTTGGGGACTGGGAGCTGGGGCTGCTGGCCAATGGATGGTCAAAAAATGGGCCATGCAAAGAGAGGCCACCAGTACAGGAGGATATAGCTACTACGCCTGCCTGAGGATAAAGTCAGTGACTTCTTGTCCAAGCAATAGCTGTCTCTGGATCTTGATGGAAAAATGGGAGATGTGCAGAGGCCCCCAGGCCAAAATTTTATTATATTTAGTTTAGCAAAGATTGAAAGTGTAGTCAACTAAAGGCCAAGTAGATGTGTAGGTAGGTGCCAGACCTTGTGTGTGGCGCTGGGAGCAATCTCTAGGGTCTAACCCCTTCAGTTGGAAACTACGCATGGAAGGTGACAAGGAGGGATGTGGAAAGCCATTTCTCTACCTCCAGCAGCAGACCTGGAGTCTAGAAGAATTCTGTCACTTAGAAGACAGACTGCAAGGGCTGTGTCAGGGTGCTGACTGCCATGGTTGCTGTTCGTTGGGTGCCAAGGATTCCATTGCACAGCTCACCAGTTCTCCTCTACTCCTCTCCAAAGACCAGCCGCTTCTCTCCCTCTCAAGAGAAGTAGGCCCTGGTACTGCACCCCAAGAGCTAGAAAAGGCTGCTTATAAACACAGCCTCTCCTGCAAGGCCAGTGGGCCCCAGCCCCTCCTTGTCCCACCCCTAAGGGCTGCAGGCTGAGCTGAGATTTGGGCACTGGCAGAGTTTGTCTAAAGCAGCATTGGTCAGCAAATGTATAAGGGCCTCAGGGAAGTGGACTGTCAAGGCCTAGAGGCAAGTCCCGGTGCTCCAGGGAACTGTAACATTCATGCCTTTGGGGAAATCAGAAACTCTTCCCTTGTCCCTATTCCCCAGCCCAGGTCCAGTTCACCAGTGGAAAATAATATAAATGAAGTATGTGTATCAGGTACAATTCAATGGCAGAATACTGAATCCATTATCATTGGAGAGGCTGAAGAAACAGGCAAGGTGAGATTTCAGGAAAGACTCCCAAAGCCACACTATAGCACAAGGCTGCTGCCACTGCTCTATGTTCAGGGCTTAGGCTGCTGAGTTGAGAAGCTGGCACCAGCTGCCAGTTCTAGAAGTAAATGACCACTGCCATGATCAGGAAGAAGAGACTACCACAGTCCTGGAGCCACCATCACAGACAGGAAGTCACTACCATGGTCAGGAAGTCATCACCCACCACCACAGTCAGGAAGACCCCTCTATGGTCAGGAATCATCACCACAGTCAGGAAGTCATTGCCACAGGAAGCCACTCCAATGGTCAGGAAGCCACCGCCACAGTCAGGAAGTCATCTTCACAGGAAGCTACCCCAATGGTCAGAAAGTTACCACTGCCATTCCACAGGATGCCACTACCATGGTGAGGAAGCCACTGCCACAGTCAGGAAGATACCTCCATGGCCAGGAAGTCATCACCATGATCAGAAAGCCACTCCAATAGTCAGGAGCTCACCACCACCACAGATAGGAAGTTACCACAGCTGGAGTCAAGGAGATACCCCCAGAGTCACAATGTCACCACCACAGTGGTCAGTAAGTCACCACCACAGTCAGGATGTCACTGCCATGGTCAGGAAGCTGTTATTCCTGCTGCTGCCCCCGATCCACCATGTACCTGCTGGGATCTGGCAAAATGGATACCCAGAAGTCAATGACTGGAGGCTGGGACAGTTTTGCTATCTACGGAAACAACAGAAGCGCAGCCTCTGCTTCAGTTCTGCCCTCTCACACGTGCTTCTGACAGGAAGAGCTAAAAGTGTGTTGGAATTCTGCCTGCAAAGGAGTCTTGGGAGGTCACTGTTAACTCACCAGCCTCTGTGGTACAGGAGGGAATCCAGAGGAAGCTGGTTGTCCAGACCACAGTGAATGTGGGTAATGGGGAGCAGCTGAGCCCCATGAGATCCAGCAGGGAGTGATGCTACAGAAGTAGCACTAAGAGCAAAACCATGAATGAGTGTTACCCAGGCGAGAAGAATCTAATTTGCAAGGCCACAACTGTCCATGTGTATGAAAATCACCTGGGGAACCATCCTAGGGCAGATACAGGTGCCCCACCCTCTGAGGCTGACTCACTGAGACTAGGGTAGAGCCCAGATCTCCTGTCACCCACCCCCCTTCTTGTTCTCTTGATAAAAATGTTCCTCTGTCCTTTTTGTACATTCTGTTCACTCTTTCTCTCTCTGATCTTCAAGATAAACCAATAAAGAAGTCCCATCAGGTATTCTTAATGTCATTTCTGAGAAGAGGAAGGCAAGGCTCAGGGAAGTGGAGTCATTTTGTTTCTCCCTGTTGCCCAACCTGCTGGAGGTAGGGCTGGGCCAGGGCCAGGGCCAGGCCCTGTCCACCACCTGAACCCCAGGCCTTCCGCGTGCCTGTGGCCCTCTCTGAGCAGAGCACTACTCACCACTGCTCTTTTCGGCCTGATAAGGGAAAGAAAAACAAGAGGGGAGTGCATGGGTAAGCTGGAAGCAACCAGGGCCACCATGTCACCTCTCTGAGCCTGTTTCTACCTCTGTGAAGCGAGGCTTGGGGTTTACAAACCTCTTCTTTGACAGCAAAGTCTTCTTTCCAGAGCACCCTACCTGTGTGTGGATCACCCAGATCAAAGCTGAGCTGTTGTGGTTGCCTCAGAGGAGGGGCCCCAGGAGCTCCACCCATCAGGCACTTCGGCAGAACTGTTTAAAAACCCAAACGATTGCCAAACAGCAGGATATGCCTGGGCCTCACAGGCCTTCTGCCCACACTTCAGCCTGCTCACATCACTAAGCTTTGTGGGTTTTGTCCAGAGGGAGAGCAGGAAGGGCTGTCTCTGGAATTTAGGGTGCAGGGGGGAGCTGGGAGGGGAGTACTGGGCATTTAGGAAATAGAACTGGCTGCCAGTCCCAGCTTGGAGTAAGCATATTCAATATGGATCCCATTCTGTTGTCTGTTTCCTACGTGAAATACCTTACATCCTATTCAGCCCGGAGATGTTATTAAAAATAGAAAGAGGAACAAAGCCCTCAGAGAGGGCTGCTCCAGGGGAGGGTCCACTCTTCTGGGCCTCCCTATCAAGAGTGGCCTCCATAAAAATCTCATGTACACACACCCCAAGCCCTAGCAGAGCAGCACTGCACATAAGTGTATACACACGGGCACATACTTAGGTCCACACACTGTGGTGCCTTGTATCTCAGTGGCCACTGGTACATCACTGATAGGTACCAGAATGGGCACATCCTTGAGTAGCTTGGGGGAACCCATCCTGACTGGGCCCAGAAGGAGACATGGCATTATGTCCACTGAGGCCTCTTCCACCCAGAATTTTAGAAAATGCTGAGTGGTTTTGGTGGAATGCTTTGAGTTGTTTCTGCTACACTTTGCCTGTATTCACCAGAGGAGCAGACAGTACCTTCAGATCTGTTTGGATTGGGTGGAGGTGAACGGAAGAAGCCACAGAAGGAAACTTTGAATGCACTTGTCCATGTAGACATTTGCAGTGGGCTGTTCATGTGAATGGGCCCGCCTGTCAGTATCAGTAGTTTCTTTTTCTCTGGTTTTGCCTGATTAAGGCTATTGCTTATAGCCAATCAGAAGAAATATCACACTGTGTTCCAGCTCTTGGAAAGCATTTTCAGGGGTGAGGTAGGGGGGATGAGACTAACCCAAGTGAAACCAAGCAAAAGCCTCTGTGTCATTCAGAGGTATAGTGGCGTAGGACACAGAGGAGCAACAGAGACCAAAGGTTCAGACGGCTTCTCAAAGGAGCCAGTCTTTAGAGATTGCTAGAAATTAGAAAAGAGGTGGACCTCAAAATTCAAGGACCTGTTAGTAACAGCTAACATTTATTGAGCACTCGCTGTATGCCAAACATTGCACAGAGCATATTACTTGTCATATAAATCTCAAAATCACCATAGGAGGTAGGTGCTATTATTTTTATTCTACAAATGCGAAACCTGGGGTTCGGTGTGATTAAGTAAGTCTCCCAAAGCCACAAAGTGAATGGGACAGTGTGATTGAAACCAGACCTATCTGAAGCCAGATCCCTTAAACATCACACTATGGAACAACAGGCTGAAATACACGAACTGAAACAGTGACCCTTCCCTGTTGGGGACTGGCTACTGATGGTCTGAAAACCAACCAGTTGCTGTCAAGTTGACTCTGACTCATGGTGGTCCTATGTGTGTGACAGTAGAACTGTGTACAGTTTCCAATGGCTGATTTTTTGGGAAGTAGATCGCCAGGCCTTTCTTCTGGGTGGACTTGAACCTCCAACTTTCTAATTAGTAGCCAAGCATGTTAACCATTTAGACCACCCAGAGACTCCACTGATGCTCTGTTACTTTTTCTAAATGCTGTATGCTGCTTATAGCTGCAGTTTTTTTCCATCTACCCTTCAGGTCCTAGAGCCAGCAGAGTCCTTGCTGTGGCTATAATCAGTTTTTCCATTGCTTCATGGTTTGTGGATTGTCAGTTGGTTATAACTCCCATGTGATTCTTACATAAAAACTCTTATTTTAAGGAGTGACCTGTGTTGACCCATCTGTTACAGACCACAGTCATTGACTATGTGAAGCCCTCAGATCTCAAGAAGGACATGAATGAGACCTTCAAGGAGAAGTTTCCACACATTAAGTTAACACTCAGCAAGATAAGGAGGTATGTGAGGACTGGCATCTGCTTGAATTTTCCCTTCAGACCCCTCCCCAGTATGCATTAAAAGCTTATACTGTGTATGATGGTTCTTCTTCTTGTTCTGGTGAGGGACATGAAACATGGTCCTATTCAGTTAAAAGAGGCTGGACCGATGGTGGCTGACTTGCACCTGGATATGGTAGGAGAGCCAAGGGAAGCAGGACAGGAGGCTGAACTCTTGACACGGCCATGGACTTGGCCTAGATCTGGGGGGACATTGCTTTGGTGAAAGACTCACTTCATTCTGTCTGACTCAGCAGTTCGGTAAGATTTATGTTATTGAAATTAAGAATGAGAAGCCACCAGATCCCTACTTCCTCAAATGTAGACAGAAGAAAAAAAGTTTGGATAGTAGGGTTTAGGATAACCCATAACTCTTACTAGTGGGTGTCCAGGGGTGACAGTCAGGCCTATCTTTATGCAGTCGCCAATGCAGCCCAAAGTCAGGCCCACACTTCCCTTCTGGCTGATTGGATCAGTAGCCAAAGAACAGGGCCTAAGAGGTGTTGTTGTTGTTGTTGTTATATGCTGTTTAGTCAGACCCAACTCATAGCAACCCCTCCTTCGGTTTCCGAGGCAGTATCAGTATCACTATGGAAGTAGATTGCCCAGCCTTCCTTCTGAGGAGTGGCTGGTGGGTTTGAACTGCCAGCCTTCTGGTTAGTAGTCAAGTGCCTTAGGCACTATGCTACCGGAGCTCCCAGGGCCTAAGAGGAGCTCCTCTATATCTGTGTGCCACTGCAGCACAATTTGTATCTGTGTGTGTATATGTGCACCAGCGTGATGCTGGAATGCATGCCAGTGTTTGCTCAAGTGTGTCTCCTAATACTGATTTGATTCTGCTATATTCCAAGCCAAAGATGTGAGAAAAATAAGGTCTTCACACTTTGTTCTTTGCTAGGTGTTTTTCATAAGTGCACTTGTTTTTATGCGTTACCATTACCCTTTCTGCCCTGGTTAATGCATACAACCAGTATTTGGCAGAGCTTATGCAAAGTACCTAATGTATTTCTATAATTTTTTCCTGGAGTAATCGAAGTTTCCAAATGGTTTCCCCCTTACTTGGGCACTCACTTGTGTTGTCCTGTTCGTTAGGGCCCTGGCTAGTCTGCATCCCTACTTAGCCTGCTGTTCCTTCCAGCACCATCTCTGGCAGTGGGGATGCCGGCAGCACTGGGCTGCTAGGCCTGAAGCAAGAAGAAGGGTAAACATGGTCTATGTAACTTGAATGACAGAGAAGAGTCGAAAGCCCAGCTCATAATGCAACTTTCACACTCCTTCAGATTTAATTCCATTCCACTTCATCCTTCTGGGAATGGAAAAGAGAAGTGCTTTCCAGCTAGGACAGTCCGTTTCTCATGCATCCCCAGAAACTCTGAGTTCTAACAGGATTTGTTTCCCCTCCCTGTCTTTCTAGTCTGAAGCGAGAGATGCGGAAGCTTGCTCAGGAGGACTGTGGTTTTGAGGAGCCCACTGTGGCCATGGCCTTTGTCTACTTTGAGAAGCTGGCCCTCAAAGGAAAGCTAAACAAACAGAACCGGAAGCTTTGTGCTGGAGCGTGTGTGTTGTTAGCAGCCAAAATTGGAAGTGACCTCAAAAAGCACGAAGTCAAGCATCTAATTGATGTAAGTGACCCCATGTGCTGATGGCTGGGCAAGCACATGTTACAATGCTGGGTTGTCTATCAGTGCAGCCTGGTGTTATGACCCTGCCCCAAGAGGGTCCTGAGACTTAGCAGGTACTAGGGGTGAGGGCTGTGAAGTCGTTCTTCCATGATAGAGCCAAATGCCATGTCCCAGCTTGGCTTAGAATGAAGGGGTGATCCAGTTGGACAAGACTGAAGTTCCCTAGCATGGAGTTGGCCCTGAAACTCCATTTTCAGAAACCATGTGGGTGAAATTATTCTCACAGCTACAGACGTCAGTGTAATGGTGAGGGAGCTTGTGGTCAATGTGGCCCTCAGAACATGTGTCAGACACATCGGTTCAGCAGAACTTGGTGTCTTTGCTGCCCTGACTGACATCTCTTAGAGGAAGGGCATGGGTTTGGCTTGGTGGTAGTCCTTTGAAAGGAGAGTCTCCACTAAAGCAAAGAAACACTGACCACCTTGGACTGCGGTGTGGTGGCCCCCGTGTCCATCTGCCTACCTGTCTTTATTGGCAAAAGAGAACAAGCAGAAAGGGAGCTATGTCAGTTCTATACACGTACACATACATATGCAACCAAAAAACCAAAACACACACATAGACACATACACATGCACACATACACACACAAGGAGCTCTGGTAGCATAGTGCCTAAGGCATTTGACTGCTAACCAGAAGGCTGGAGGTTCAAACTCACCAGCCACTCCTCGGAAGGAAGGTTGGGCAATCTACTTCTGTAGTGACACAGCCTCGGAAACCCAAGGAGGGGTCACTGTGAGTCAGATCCAACTGAACAGCAATGAGTTTGGTTTGGGATACACACAAAATAAAACATAAAATACACACACATACACATAAACAAACACATATACACAAACATATACACACATACAGACACATACACTCATGTACACATAATATACACATACATACAAACATATACAGACACACACACATGTAGAGTGTTCTGTAGGTCAGAAATGGTACAAAATTGTCTATCTTATACAATAAATATTTTCAGTCACATGGAGGTGATCATTGGACACCAAATCTGAGCTGGGACTCAATAGGCTTACATAGATATTTGCTGAACTAGAGAATCTTTAAGCACTGTACCACCAGAGCTCCTAGAAAATCTTTAGAGACAACAAATAATAATTATGAATGGTATCAAGCACATTTAATCATAATTAAATATCACAAGACAAATATAATTATATTAATGCAGAATACGATGGTGATGGTTGACAAGCTATTTGCAGTAGCAATTAATCAAATGCAAGAGCCCATCCCAATTAAAATCTGAATGCAGTCACCATTGACTCTGTTGGCTAGAATTAATATTAAGATAAAAGCTGAGTTGAAGCCAAAGCAGAATGTGCCTAGCAAAAACCAGGCCTTCACTAATTCCTAAAAAGTTGGAAACAGAAATACCATTTGATCTAGCAATCCTATTACTAGGTATAAATCCTCAAGAAGTGGGAGCCAGGACAAGAACAGATATATGCACACCCATGTTAATTACCGCACTATTTACAATAGCCAAAAGATGGAAACAACCTAGGTGCCCTTCAACAGAAGAATGGATATCCAAACTATGGTACATACACACAATGGAATACTATGCAGCCCTAAAGAATAATGTAGAATCTGTGAAACACCGCATAACATGGATGAACTTGGAGGACATTATGCTGAGTGAAATAAGTCAATCACAGAAGGACAAATATTCTATTAGTTCACAATTGTGAAAAGTCAAGGAAGGGTTTATGTATGGAAGGAAACTTTCTTTGTTGGTTACCAAGGATGGGTGGTGGAGGGAAGGAACACTGCTATATAGTTAGAGACAAGTGTTGATTTGGGTGAAGGGAAGGCCAATGTACCAAAAGTGAGTAATCAACACAGTGGCACTGAGGAAGAGGAAGACAGAGAGGGGTACACGGGAGGTACAGACAACAAGCTTGCAAGTGGTATCTAGATGCAATGATGGGTCTCTCCTTGTCCAGAGCAAAGAAAAATAAAGAAAACCAAAGATGCGTAGAAACAGTTAGTCCAAGGGACTAGTAGATGAACCCTTTTGCATGTATAGTACTACATTGTCAGTGATGGCAAGCATTGATCTGTGGGTGAATAGATGAGTGGACAGGCTGAATGATCAAGTTTGTCTAGGCAGGGGGAGTGAGCCCATGACCATGTATAGGATTAGTAGAAAATGTTTCTACATGCGTATTTGTATGTGCTATAAGAATGTCCAGGTGTACGGTAGAGATGACAAGGAACAAGGTTGTGATGGCTTCTTGGCCACAACCACATACCCTGAGGGAATGAGTAGTTGGACCTGTGGGCTTGGGACCCTCATCGCAGGGGGCATCAAGCTTAATTGGCATAATATACTACACAAAAACATTGTTCTACATCCTGCTTTGGTGAGTAGCAACTAAAGTCTTAAAAGCTTGCAAGTGGTATCTAGATGCAATGATGGGTCTCTCCTTGTCCAGAGCAAAGAAAACCAAATCTGCATAGAAACAGTTAGTCCAAGGGACTGGTAGACCATATGATTTTCAGCCTATATGGCCATAAGAACTAGATGGTACTCAGCTACTACTGTCAACCACTTGGAGGGGGATCAGTACAGGAGATGCTAGATAGAGTGGGAAAACAATGTGGAACAAAACTCAAAATCATTAAAAAAAAAAAAAAAAAAGACCAGGTTTGCTGGTCTGATAGAGAATGATGAGACCCCTGAGACTATGACCCCTAGTTACCCTTCAGCTCTGGAACTAAACTCATTCCTGTGGCTTCCAGCCAAACACTAGACAGGTATATGGGGTGAACATTTACATCAGGTAGATACATTCTTTGGAATGATCAATCATAGGAGAACAGAAAGGCAGTGTTTGCACAGGGAGACAGCTGGGGTGGGGGGCAGCTAGAGTGCCCGGGAGGGAAGGACACAGGAAAGAGGTAACTATGAGGAGGAAGTGGGAAGTGAGCTGTTACATTGTGGGGAATTGCAGTCAACATCATGAAACAAAATGTGTATGAACTGCTGTATAGAAAATGAATTTGCTCTGTAAACTTTCACCCAAATCACAATTAAAAAAAAAAAACAACTAAGCCTTCCCTACCTACCCCCAGCCTGATTGCTCTCCATTCCTGACTCTAACAGCCCCTGCACTGAAGTGAACTGAAGAGACAGCCCGGGTGGTGGGGCCACAAGCCTGGGCTCTCAGCTCCACTCAGATGCACAGTCACCATGTGACTCTTTGAAATAAGGGGACCCCTCCAAGAGTTGAGTCCCTACCCATAAAATGGGAAGATTGAACAGCATGATCAGCTCCCCCAATTCTGAGCTTATGATGTGGCTATCTGTTATTGTATTGTTGTTGTTGTTATGTGCCGTCGAGTCAGCCCCAACTCATAGCGACCCCTCCTTGGGTTTCCGAGGCAGTATCACTACGGAAGTAGGACTGCCCAACCTTCCTTCCGAGGAGTGGCTGGTGGGTTTGAACCGCCAGCCTTCTGGTTAGCAGTCAAGTGCTTTAGCCACTATGCTACCAGAGCTCCTTGTTATTGTATATGATTTGCTATATTTTTAGTCTTAAAAAATAAACCTGAAGAACCTTGTCGTAACAAGGTAGAGTTTTGAATCCAGTTAGATTTGAACCTTAGCTGTGTACCTTTTACTGTCCACATGACCTTGGACAAGTTGGTTAACCTCTTGGAGTCTGTTTTCTCATCTGTAAGATGGAGATAAATTTAACATCAATCTTGGAAGGTTATTGGGAGGACTAAATGGAATCATGTGACTTACGGGATATTCTCTCAGACTGTAGGTCCTGGGGAAGGTTCCATCTCTTCACCCCCCAGACTAAGGGCAGGAATATACCTGATACCTCCCTTTCTTCCTCTACAGAGGCTTGCCCACAGTGAGTGTCTCTATAAACACTGACTGGCTGATGGATAGAGATGTTAAACCAAAACCAAACCCACTGCCATTGAGTTGATTCCAACTCATCGTGACCCTGTAGGACAGAGTAGAGTTGCCTTACAAGGTTTCTAAGGCTGTAATCTTTACGGAAGAAGACTGCCTTGACATTCTCCTGTGGAGCGGCTGGTGGGTTGAAAGCCCCCACTTTTCAGTTATCAGCCAAGCACTTAACCACTGTGCCACTAGGGTTCCTTGACAGAGATATTATACTCCACGGAAATCTAGGATTGTCCTCTCCAAGCTAAAACACTTTTTGGTTTTCTTTCATTTTTGTTGCAGAAACTAGAAGAGAAGTTCCGGCTGCACAGACGAGAACTGATTGCCTTTGAATTCCCAGTTTTAGTGGCCTTGGAGTTTGCTCTTCATTTGCCAGAGCACGAAGTCATGCCCCACTACAGACGCCTGGTGCAAAGCTCCTAGCACAGGCCCAGCGGAGGGGCGTCGACCCGCGGGGCGAAGACCGCTTCCTCCGAGCCTATGGAGCAGCACATGCTACTGGAAATGCAAAACCAGAACCCGAATACCACATTTTTTTGTTCCTCTCGACATGTTTTTGTGGAAGCAGTACTGGGAACTTTCCAGGGAGTCTTGAATCTGGCTAGCCAAGAGGGACTGTGAGCTGTTGGCTACACAGAGCACGGGAAGGCGGAGACAAGTGCTGAAGACAGCAGGCCCGTGCTGGAGCCCAGGGGCAGGCCGGGGCCTAGTGCAGCCCTCTGCAAGCAAAAATTCTTCGCTGCCCATCCCAGTTCTCTTGGAAGCGTGGTCAGGGCCTTCTGTCCAGACCTGTTCCAACTCAGAGTGGGAAGTGGTAGATTGGAGGGAGAGAAAATTTGCAGAGGTTTGGGGAAAGCTTTTAAAGATACCCTCACTGTGTCAAAAGAGCGTGCCAATCTATTTTTGTATCAGCTATTGGAAGTGCACTTTTTCCTGAGGTGTGGGGATGAATGACTGTGTGCATGAATGTGTGCGTGTGTGTGTTTGTACGCGTGAGTGACCGAGGGATACTGCACTAGTCCTAGTCCCCCATTTGAGTACAGACCTCAGCCTGGAATCAAGAATCTGGCTGACCTTCAGCAATCATTTCTAAATAATTTCTAGATAATAATCACTGTTAATAGCAGACTATTTGCCACCCTCTGCCCTTGACAAAAATGACATTGTTCCTGTTACTGCTATTACAACCAGCGGGATGAAGAAAATAAGTTCTCAGTATCAGACCACATTGCTTGGAACAGGCACTGCGTGTGGGTTTGGGTGACCCTTCTAGCATTTGGTGGCCATGACACATGGGCAAGTATTCAACCTTCACCCTTTCCCACTGTGGGGGCGGAGGGTGTGGCCCCCCACAGTGTGTGTCCTGTACTCTATATTAGAGTGCTTAATAAGCACATTGATTGTGCTATATGTGGGAAAAAAAAAGTTTTCTAAAAATCAGGAGTAGGGACAAGACCATGATTGCTGATTTGAGACTTTTGACAGCTAAAACAAACTGCATTTTGAGCTGAACTGAGTCGAGTAAGGAGGCCATGGCTCTTAACAGGATCACCATGTTCCCCAGGCTGTCGGTACAGAGTTTTAATCAGCTGCTTCCAGCAGCAGTGATGACTTATGCCGAGTTTCTGAGAGGATCTGTACCTGAAGCAGGTTACCACGTGGTCACCTTCCAGCAGCACAAGAGAGATGCCAGCCGGGGACTACCTGACTGAAGAAAGCCTTCTATGTCCATGTAAAATGAGAATTAAAATATTTTCTTCTTTTATATATACATGTATGTGTATACACATATATCCTACCAGCAGCCTTTTGCCCTGTGTTGCTCATTCATCTGCTACTGTTTTTGATTTCTCACAGATTTGGAGCTTTTCACATCACCCCAGAGATAGGGAGATGGGGGGACAAATGTAGTTAACAGAGTTTGAAAGAACTGGATCGTCACATAGGTTGGAGAAATCCAAGCAGCAGCTGGTGAGAGGGAAAACTGAATACTTGGCTTCTTGAAGTCTTAGATTTCACCAAGTTTGAGCCTTAATATTTTGCTAACAAATTAAATTCCCTTGCTGGAACTAGTAGTAAGAGAGTAGGAGGATATGTGTTCTCTGGTGGACCTAAAGCTAACCAGTTATTGTCAGCTTGATTCCAACTCATGGTGACCCCATGTGTGTCAGAGCAGAACTGTGCTCCACAGAGTTTTCAGTGGCTGGTTCTTTTCAAAGTAAATCACCAGGCCTTTCTTGCATGGTGCCTCTGGGTGGACTTGAATCTCCAACCTTCAGGTTAGCAGCTGAGTGCTTAACTGTTTGCACCCCCCAGGAATGCCAAGCTAAGTCAACTAGTGTTTCAGGGGCATCTGCTCTTCGTAAGGCAAATTGGGAAGCAGAGAATGTGTCAAGCAGCCCAGCATCCTATACTGCAGAATAATAATCTTCCTCCCATGCTGTCAGGCCCAGAGAGTGCACGGTGTCTGTCACCTTGCATTCCTCTGACGAGCTGCCCTGGTGAATGCTCGAAGAAGCTGGGCTGCTGGCCTCTAGAAATCGCCTGCAGAGCTCCCCCCCATCCATTCACCTCAAGTCTCCTGCCGCACACGGGGGGTAGCCAGTAGAGGACACAGGCAGGCCACCCGCCCAGACCTGGGGAGGAAAGCCTGCATCCTTCCTGTGTCTTCAAATCAGGCTAATCTTGGTTTTAGGGGTCTTATTTGGGGAGTTTTAGCATTTACGAGGCGGGCTTGTGCTTACTCACTGATCTGCACTGAACACGTTCCCTTGTTACCCTACCGAGAGGGCCAGGTCTTCGGGAGCAAGGTAAGCACAGG